CGACATCTGGTGAAAATTTCATGTCATTAGCACCTCTAGTAATATATTTACTGAGAAAAATGTTGACGTGTTCAATACTTATTTTACCCGCTGTACCAGAGGTCTATTTTTATGGTGGCTGCCGTAAAGCAAAGTGTTTCACCTTGGATAGATAGATATTCAGTCAGGCCTGCCTGGATGAATATCACACAACATACGTGCCTCAGTGACTCACATGCATGGCTGCTTTATTAATCCCCGTCTGTATCTTTCTCTTTTGGATTTTTCACTTAAATTTATCTCTGGCTTTTAAATAATAACCACCATCTGAGCAGGTGGCCTTATTTATAAAATACGACAAAAGAATAATAATTAAAGCAAAAACATTCAGTAGATACTTAAAACTGTGTTGCAATAAAGAGGTTACTATAATAATTATGAGTGTTTGTTTTAATTTAATCTAATCTGAGATTATGTAATTTATTTTTGCTGTCAGCAGTAATAATTTAAAAAAGAAAGTAAGAAAAAAAAGACATTATCCACAAGAATCGTGAGTACAAAAAGGCATTTTGGTGTTTAACAGGAAAAGCGTTCATCGGATTTTTGTTGTGAATCAGGAACGTGCCCACAGCGCGCGCACCCGCCTTTCAATGTCGCTGGGTCGCTTTTGGACTTAAATGGTTAAAAATTAATATATATATTTTAAAAAACAGTGTTGAGAGACTTACGGCTGGGTGGCTTTTCACTTGCTTGATGACGACTCGGAACATGGACGACATGGCGGAGGATGTTGGAGTCTTCTCCGGGGGACGCGCTCACCGCTGCGGCGGAACTCCGACTGAAGGCTGCTGCTGCTGCTGCTGATCACCGACCTACTCCTGCAGCCCATCCCTGCTGCTGTTTATCTGAAGGCCCGGACTTGGACTGCAGAATGCTCCAGAAAACTCACCTTCTTTTGTCCACAAAGACTGTTCTGGGCAAATCTTGAAAGTACGGTGAGAAGCCGCGCTCAGAGGATGCATTGAGGATGACTCTCGGCACCAAACCGATGAAGTTATCAACTTTTTTTGTTGTTGTTCGCTCTTTAGTTTGCTGCCATCTTAAAATGGTTGGGTACAAAAGTTGAATTTGTTGTAAATATATCTGAAAGTTTCATCTTTCCAGTGTTTGATGATATTTTAAGCAAAAATGGAATTTGCTTTGACTCATTCATGAGTAAATGCTGGTACAAAGCTCCACTCTGGACCTCAGAAGTTACTTATGTGCCTGGAAAATGCATAATACCCCATCCTAAACACAGATCTTTTGATCAGGATTTTTTTTAGGTCAATGTCTGTAAAATCTAAGAATTACTTAATGCAGATGTCTATAAAAATTGTCCAGTGTTTCATTGAACTTTATACTAAGAGACAAAATGACAACATCTATAGCTCAAAAGGCTATTTGTGACAGAAAAGTTGACGGATGAAATGTAAACGTAAATCTATCCACTTTTTAAAATTGTTTTTACGTCTAAAACATTTTAAATACCCATCACTTTTAATTAGACATAACCAATTCAAACATTTTAATGACTCACCTTGTATATTTAAGTTTTCATTTCATAAAGACACAGAAACTAAAGTATACAAATCACTTTGTAACTCTAATTTAATAACTCACACAGAGGACAGTAGTTTCTCATCTTATTTTTATGTGGACAGAACCTGAGAGAACAAAACATTCCCAGAATCCAAACAGACTTGAGGAAACATCACGTAGAAAAATATGTTCCGATCCATTAGCATTTCTAAATGACACTAAAACTATGTTAGTAAAAAAATAATAATAATAATAATAAACTCCCCATTCACATGCACACATACAAACCAAAACAGAAACACCTCTCCAATAAAATCCCTCTGCTGGAAGTGCATWAAAGTCCACCAGATCTCATAACTGCCTCACAAATGTAGACACAACAAAACTAAATGTAACACATTTTTTTTAGCTTATGTTGCAGAAAACAAAAATTTACAATAAAGTACAAAAATGTGAATATATATTTATATATATATATATAAAATAATTGCAACTCAAAAAGTAGCAGTTCGATTTGTGCAAACATCTACCAGAAATGAAACTAAATTGATCATTGACTTGTCAGCGTGGCAGAACCTAAAGAAGCAAACATTAAAGGATGACACATCTATACCACTAAAACTGGTTAGGTAGTCAACTAGGCCATGAAACAGCAAACTAAACATCAAAAATACATCTACAAACATTGAAAAATAATGTCTTTGTCCATCAATGCGTACACGTTTTAGCAAGAAAAATAAAATTTAAACACACGGCTTTAAAGCAGGAGCGAACAGAAACCTTCAGTTATTAATGTGACCCAACTCCAACAGATGGAAGCTGCAGGTGAAATAATCAAATTGTGATTTCATTGTCTTCTTTTAAGCAAGTGAATATAAAAGTACCCAAGTGATTTGTCATACACACCAACATATCTTTGAACACTTAAAAACAAGAAGAATTATTATTTTTTATTTCATCAAAACTCCAGATAATTTAGATAGAAATTATGTAAATGTGTGTTTATCATTTACTCTTTGGAAAATATACTTTTGTTGTTGTATGTGAATGCACCAGATCTCTGAGCTTTTTTTCTGCACACATTTTTGGCCAAAACTATCTCTTTGGGTGGAAAAAAAAAAGCAAGAAAACCAAATATAGAAAAAAATTAATTAATGAAAAAAGTAATTCCTTCGCACTGTCATGTTTTTTTTAATATAGGTCATTATGAACTTCTAATGAAGAAAACATCGTTTGTAAAGAGGACTATAAACGCACTTGTTTTGTCCAGTGAAATATTTGCATTATTTCCACAGAAAAACAGCAGCAATCAGAAAGCGAGTCCCTCTCCTGAGCTCTCCGACACCACAGCGGAGGTTGCTGCAGGGTTAGGAGAAGCAGCCCGGTTACCAGAAGAGGCCATCTGGCAGGAGCCTGTTCCCTGGCCTGAGCTGTTTCCTGCTGGAGATCCTGTGAGGCTGCGGAACAACAGGTCCATGGAAGGAAGCAGGGGCTTGAGGAGGCTGACAGGGCAAAAGGCYGAGCCCCCGTGGGGGGTGAAGTTTACCTTGTTGGGGTCTGGGCAGGAGGAGATGAGGGTTTGCTTTTCTTGGCGTGGAGTACTGAGGACCAGAAATGAGAGGTGGTGCTGAGGTTAAACTAATATTCAAAGTTTAAAGTGGTGAAAACAAGGTTTTATTGCAGAAATTATACACACACATAAAGTCTGACAAAACTTTATGAGTCCCATGAGCACCACTGATCACTCAAGAAGAAAGAAACACCAAAGGTTGTGGAAGTAGGGGAGCAGAGGGTGCTGCAGCATCCTTTAATCAGAGGTGTCAAACGTATCCACATTTCATTACTCAAGTAAAAGTATAGATACTAAGATTTAAAAATACTTTTTTGAAGTAGAAGAATSAACTCAAGCTGTTTACTCAAWTAAAGGGGGTGGAGTGAGGGCCCATATCCTTGTCTGCTCAGGGRTTATGAAAATAAAAATTATTTTTTGTGTATACTAAAAATCAACAAAAAGTCCATTTGAATAATTAAAACTTTGTATAACTCTGTTGTTTTCCCCCCTTTTTCCAAATAAAGTTTTGTAACTATTCACTTACTGGAGTGGGACAGGATTTGTATCATAAAGGTGTGATGGATTGTACAAACAAATAGGGTGTCAGAATGGTAGCCGGAATGAAAAAAAGTTTAAGTGAAATAGAAATTAAATACATTTTGCATTTTTAAAATGTAAGGACTAGAAGTAAAAAGGAGGCTGGAAAATAATTACTTCAGTAAAGTGTAAATTACCAGAATTTCTACATAAGTAAAGTATTTGTACTTCATTACTTGACACCTCTGCCTGTATAGAATGCAAAATGACAGTATTAATAAATAAATAAAACAATTTAATTGGCACTGCATATGCTTAAATTCCAATATTTAGATACMGAGTTTTGCAAATCTGGTTTGTAAGCAAACTGTTATTGTGTAAAATTGCACAACCACTTAAAACCCACAAAAAGCATGTCCAGAGTTGCATAATGTCATGACTGCAATTTTACAGATCTTGTCATAAACTGTCAGTGCACATTTCACAGCACTAAGTTAGTATTACAATACCAACACACACACACACACACACACACACACACACACACACGTTCTAAAGGCAATACTAAAAACGAAACTCATAAAACCCAAGCTTTTGAACAGAAAATACTTTTAAACTAAAACAAACTTGAACTTTTCTTTGCCAAGTTTAAAATCAAATGTTGTAGAAACAGAATATTGATGTTTAAAAATCAGATTATCTAAAACAACTGTCACAAGATTTAGCTCAAAGAGAAATATTTAACATACGCACTGAGAAAGTAGAGCAGTGTTTTAACTAAACACACAAGCAAATCTACACAATTTACCATCAGGGGAAAAAAACACTCAACAAGGAACTTTTGTCAAATCTATCTGAACAAATATTTTTACAATCAACAATTTACACACATGAAGCAAATGATTGCTAWAAATCAAAATTAATCAAACGTAAGTATAAGACAGACGCTGGTACAACTGTATCCATATTTCAATTCAATCCSTTTAAGTGGAAATCATCCTCACAATCAGGATTCAATGGTCTAACTTCTCAATTATTTTCAAGTGAATTTTAAGGCTCYGAGTTATTTGTTATAATAAGAGGACAGATATCTACATTTTAAATTAGCAGCAGACAAAGTCATCCAACTATTCATCAATAAAATCCCCAGAGTCAGGCACACCCACAATCAAGTGTTACCMTGGGGCAGCCGGGTGAATTCTGCCACAGGCTGGAGACAGAACTGTTAGTATAATGATTATTCTATCGAAATATTTATGAAGCAACACTGTCGTGTGCTGAAGTAACTGATTTAGCTCTAACTGACTCACAAATGTCATCAACAAGTGTCAGAGCAGTCAATCAATCAATCAATCAATCAATCAAATGAAAGCCAAGACATACCTGAGCTCCTCCCAGACTCTGACCTTCTCGCAGCCCTCTGGAGGCTCTCTCTGGAAGCAGCAGCTTTTGTTGAGGCCTGGAGATGAGGAGATCAGTGGTGGAAGGTCGGCCTCATTCTGGGAGGACAGCGGAGACAAGAGGCACATCTCTCTGCTGTCTACAAAGCCAGAAACCAGGAGAAAAATGACAGTTATTAGAAAGAAGCTGCAGAATTCAACCTACAGAAAAACTAATAAAGACGGGTTCRGCCTCTCTGGCTACRTTCACACTGCAGGTCTTAATGCTCAACTCAGATTTTTTWAAAATCCYATCTTTTGATGYRAACGTTCACATTACATTTTAAATGCGACCTGCATCAGACTCCAGTGTGAACGCTCCACAGCACTGATGTGACAAGCGTGCACAGCAAAAGACGTGACGTCTCATCAGCCGGCTTGTTTGTTTACATGGATGCTCCTTTTTGCACGTCGAATCTGAAGTTGTTGTTTAATCAGAGCTGATTAAATAATTATCTGACGTGCGTGTTTAGTTC